TTCCCTACAGAATTTTGTTCTTAAATCCACCTCCAGTAGTCCTTGTTCACCCATATTTTCCATGATACCCACATTAGGCTAGATACTGGTCTGAAGCTGTGTGCATTCTAACTGGCACTAGGTGCTTGGCACAGTCACTCTCTAAGGGACCCTATAATGTCTGACTTCTGGCAAGTATTTTTTTTGTTTGTTTCTTTTTCTTTGTTTTGAACTGTTTTACTGGGCACTAAGCTAGGTAAAAATGTAATCATTTGAAAGAGGGTGGAAGTCTCAAATACATGGTAAAATAGGTCAACAGGTTTAAAATTTGCATGGAGATGGTAGGAAAGATGATCACATACAGCTCAGTCCTGAGGAAATGAGGCCCACAGCCACGCCTCTGGCTTGCTCAGACTCAACATACTGTTATATGTACAGTATCATAGAATCATAGAATGCTTTGGGTTGGAAGGGACCTTGAGAGATCATCTAGCCCAACCCCCCTGCAGTGAGCAGGGATTGAACCCGTGACCTTGGCGTTATTAGCAGTTGTCATTCAAATTACTTTGGGAAATACTGTAAATACTGGAATAAATTTAGATGTTGGGGGAGGGGAATCACAATTACACATTTTTCCTTTTATGTAAGAATAAGATTTCTTTTTTCCTCTCCCAAGATAAATCAAAACAGACACACACCACTAACTGCTAGATGAAATCTGTAAACAAAAAGGAAAGGAAACAGCAGCATCTGTAAAATCCAGAACAGTAATACTATCTTAAAAAAAAAACAAACCAAAGACCAAAAACCTCTATTAGACTTGCTATTACAAATAGAACCTGCTGAGAAAACATGACAACTTTTTACTACTTGGTGATGACTCTCTAGAGGCTTATGGAAGGGTAATATGACTAAGATAGTGTAAAAAAAAACAAAAACCCAAACTTCAGTAAAGATAAGCTGTTGACTGTATGTCATGTTAGCCAATATGTAGGTCTAGGACTGAGAAGTAAAAAAGGATTTATGTTGTGTCAATGGTGTCCAGCCCTCAGCTGCTGTGAGACAAATCACCTCTTATAGGAGCACTCCATGACGATGTGCCACTGCTTCTCCCCTATTCACCACTCAACCTATTGTGCATACACACTGCCAAGTGATCGTGCTTGAAAGTTTGGTCTGCTGCTAGAACCGTGGATTTGCTGCACATGTGCTGTACTGTGGATATAGAGACATAAGTCCTTCTCCTGAGAGGCTCTCAGAAAAAGAACAAGCTGGAAGACAAAAGTTCTTCCTCATCTGGCCCATGACAGCCACTGCCAGAACAACTTCCTGAAAGACATCTGGAAAAAACGGTGGTCTGGACTGGGATCCAGATAGTAATAAATTCTTAAGCTTTAACTATTTCCAGTTCCTATTTAAAAGCTCCTAACAATACTGAGTAATTTTACATTTCTATTATCTCATCTAAAACCAAGAAACTAATTTTTCAATTTAAATCACAAAAAAATACAAGATTGATTCAAATATTCTGAAATGTTAACGATTTAATATAGTCTATGCAAATTTAGTACGGAAAATCTGCGAATGGAACTTAAGAACCAAAAAGCAGTGCAAATTTGCTAATACATTTTTTCCATATCTTAAATTAAAATTATATACTCAGAAAAGGAAAACCAATTCAGACAAATTTCAACATCTGTATTCTTAATCTTTACCACTTCAGCTGGATGTAAGCACAATCAAAATATCTAAAACGACTAAGGAAAAAAACAGTTATGCAAAGTTATACAAAATGTACATACACAGATGGAAAAAGTATAGATGTAAATGAATCCATGACAGAAATATATGCTTTTACAGACTTCCTTTATTTATCACACTGAAATTCTTTACTGGAAGCTTTATAAATCTAGCTAATAAATGTCTAATGACTGTCTAATGCATGTTTAATGCATGTTTGCAAACTTCCCATACTGAGGGAAGAAACACTTCAATAAGCAAACCGTCATAGAACTAAATACATGTCTTTACTAAATACGTTCACATCATTACCCAATGTACCTTCCGATTAATGCACAACCACTGAAATACTGTATAATGTAACTGCAAGATTTCTAAATAATCTGATACATTCTAATAACCCTATTCCAATGAAAATAATAATGCCTTACAAAATTTTTACAGGAAACATTATACATTTTCCTGTCTCTGCTAGAAAAGAGTAACCTGCATTTCTGGCTTTCATTGTGCATATAGCAATTTAATATATGCAAATTGTTATTCCTATATCTACATTCTTTTTGGCTTGTGTGTTATTTTCCTTTGTCTGTCTGTAATTTTTTTTTTGTTTGTTTCTTCTCATATTGTTACTTTCTCATGAGATATTTTTGGTTTTGTGACCTTCTGCTTTAGAATGACAAATTCAGACTAGAAATTCAGTCTAATATCATATCTGTACTGCATAATTGATAATTTTTACTGAGAAGAAAGTTAATTGGATTAGAAACTTTTTAATCTGTTTTTGTACAGAGTTGTACATTCTTTCAGCACACAGCAGTAACCCTTGATTTCCATATATTCTCAGTCTCATGAACCCAGCATATTCCAGCGCGACTTTGCCTTGCATGTTACAAATTCTTCCATTACAAATAAACCAGTAACATTTAAAAAGTGAAATCAAACATAATTCAACAGGTCAATTTGAAGCAAATAAGGTTTTAAATGTGTTGGTGACTATTTGATAAAGGTGGTCTGTGCCTATTTCAGTAACTCTGATGTGTAGCAAAATATATTGGTAAGCAGAACATTCAAATATTCATTGTTTGCTGTTGTAAATTATCTGTGCATTCTGACAGCTAAGTAAAGTGGGCTGTGCAAATGAACAGTGGTCAGAGAGACAGAAATGAGACACTGAGACAGAAAATGCTCAATGACTTCTCTTACCTGGTCATTCATTAATGTTGCAAGATGGGTTGTTTTTCCTCCAGGTGCAGCACACATATCCAAAATTCTCTCTCCTGGTTGAGGGTTTAAAATATGGCTCACAACCACAGAAGGCAAGTTCTATCATAAAAACAAATATGGGAGAATTCAAACCTTATGTTCTGTATCAAGTCCTGTATTAAGGAATGACAAACTTGTTGAAACAAAAATTCATTCAGCAGTGAAGACACCTATGATATTGCTGTCAGTTCCTCAACAGAAAAAAAAAAGAGACAGTATAGGTCAGAAGTCTCCAGTGGCTCCTTTTTTATTTAAAGCTATATATGAGTATCTATGAAGTTTAAGGGTTCATGACTATGGAGACTACAGTGCTAAAAGTCAAAATAAAATAAGCTGATACTATCACAGACACAGAGCAGCTCTGTATATTACAAATATTTTATATTGACCTGTTTACTGGAACATTTACTATATGAACATACTGGTGTAGTATAGTAACGGACAGTAAGATCAATAGGCAGGACTTTAAATTTGCGGAATTAAGGTACCAAGAAGCTGAACTGTGCTATTAATTGTATAAACAGAACAGATGCACTGAAGAGAAATAATATACAATAATTGTGCACAGGATTGGATCTTACACAATAAGGAAGTATTTTGGAAGATTGTCTTCTAACTTGGTTCAACACAAAGGTATAAAAAACTTTTAAAGTTGTCTTTACTACATGTTGGTTTTGGTTAGCACAGTTTCAAGTTCCATGCCACAGTGTTCAAAAAAATGAACAATAATTCATCTCACACATGGCAAATTCAAGTCAAAAAAGCCGGTCCCAAAGGGTTGTGATCAGTGGCACAAAGTCCAGCTGGAGGCCAGTCAATAGCGGTGTACCGCAGGGGTGGACACTGGCACCAATGTTGTCTAACCTCTTCCTTAGGGACCCAGGTAATAGAACAGAGTGCACCCTAAACAAGCTTACAGAGCGTACAAAACTGGAAAGAGTTGTTGATAAACTGGAAGGTTGTGCTGCCATTCAGAGGGACCTTGACAGGCTGGAGAAATGGAGAAACAAACCTCATGACGCTCAACAAACAGAAATGCTAACTCCTGCACCTGGTGCACCCCATGCACCAATACAGGCTGGGGCTGGCTGGCTGGCTGGAAGGCAGCTTTGCAGAGAAGGCCCTGGGGATCCTGGTGGACAAGAAGTTGAATATGACCTAAATTCTCATGTGCATCAGTCTCTTAAATAACCTGTCTCTAACAATTCTGGTCTTGAAAGCAAGTACTCTGATAAGCTGAATCAGGGAAGAAAAGGCCTCTCCTTTACTGCAGGCCATGAGACAATATATCGCTTGATAAACTACTTTGCCCACACCAGAAGACAGCGTTGATGCTGATTTAAAAATATTAAGATCAATTACAAACAGCATATATGCATAAAAATAACTCATCTGCCAGACTGACTCTTCCGACGAAAGAAATAGTGACAAAGACAATTCACTGTAATAAAGGACTTACCTTACACTCTGAGTGATAGCTATACAAATCAAATGAGGAGATAACTTAGAATTTCAGAGAATATGGCTGAACAAGAGTTTACTTGAGACAAAATTTACATCTGCTTTAAAGATTAAAATAACTTTTTTTTTTGGAAGGCTGCACAGCTTGATTTTGTTTTAAACCCTGCTTCTAAATTGTCATATTCATATAAAAAAATACAATACCATTGTTGGCACACTAATTGTCTTAGAAATCTAATTGAGGTGTTCACCTCTTTTTACGTCAGCAAACTGAAATCAAGAATTTTACCTGATGTAAGAAAACTAGAAAGTTCCATGATTTCAGCATCCTATGTTTCAGCATAGCACAGGTGGCCAATTGTAATGTCTGAGTATTGCTTTTAATTAGTTTTATTGTGGGGAAAAGGAGTACAGGTATCACAAATATTAAAGATGCAAAAGGAAAAGCTAGCTTGAAATAAGTTCTTAAATTTTACAATAAAAACTACGTAAAATTTGTCATTCTTTGGAAGCTGTGCAGTTTGGTAACAGGTAATGAAAGCTGTGCTACCGTAAGGTTTTTCATGGTTATTTTGTTCAGGTGGATTTTTTTCATTAGGGCTCAAAAGATACGGATTTTCTCCTCAACTTAAAGTCAACCTAGTATTTGGAGATTTTCCTGAGTATCTGCAAAAGGATGTACCCTGAAAGAGGCTCATATTTCAGAGTTCACAGGCAGATTCCAAAAACTAAAAGTTCTATGCAGTGTATCCGTGCAAAAAGAATTTCTAAGTGAATATCTCTTAAATCACTTTGAAGTCCCTTATCATATCTCAGATGCAGTATGATTAAACCACCTACATGTAGATACTGACTTCATTCTAAACACTTTGTTTTTTTTAAAATCCAATGAGTGAATTAGGTGCCATAACACACAATGAATATATAAAGTATTAATGTGTGCTCAGAGGATACTCATTATCCTGCAAGTAGTACAGACTTCTATTTTTGTAACAAACATACCTGTAAAAACAAATGACTAGGGAGCACATTGTCAAACGAAGGACTAAGGTAGACTGGCTCTATCATTCTTATGCCCATCCCACTGAAAAACATGAAAAAATGTCAGCTACTCATTTATAATTTTTAACAGTATTCAATTAAAATCATTATGCTTACAAATAGAAACTTTAAAGAATAGTCTTACAAAAATGAAAGCACTTATAAATCAACTAAGAAAAACACATTTACAATTCTGTAATCTGATATTCTTTAAAATTACATCAAGTTGGGTAAATCATAACAAAAAACATACTGCATTATAAGTTGGAACTACCTCTAAAAATTACATAAAGCAAATTTATCTTTTTTGTACACAAGACAAACTGAGATCTAATTCAAGCCTTCATAATGTAAAGAAATGCATAAAACCAGATTTAAATATGTTAATTTCAATCCATAACAGCTTTTGGCTAGCCATGTATGCACTAGGGCACTGGCATATGATTTCCTACTTAGATCTTCCTCCATTTTTCTAGACTGCCTGAGATTTCAGTCAAATAACAAGAAATTCTATTTCAAAAGCCTTACAGGAACATTGATGTGCCTGCAAAACAAACGTTCGAACTTAGAAGCAACCTACAAGTTTTAAATATGGATGAAGTTCTGACACAGATTTCAGTAAGTTAAGACAAAGGTACAAGGAAATGGAAAACAATGAAAAGAAAAATGAGAAAAAACAATACTGAGTCTGAAAACAATAGACTACTAAAGATAGCAGTAATGAGTATTATTTTGTATATGCACTGCAAAGTCCAACAAGAAGAAGGAACAATATGAGAAAGCAAACTTGCAGACTCCAGATTTAGTGTTACATACTGCCATTCCACATCATCAATTCAACAGGTATATCCTACCACTAATTCTACTATATTTAAGCTCTACTAAATCAGAAATCCTGACAATGTAATCTTTTTTACTAGATATTTTGTAGTTTGTTCTCGGGATGTAAAGTCTCAGTCATTAATTTGATGTCCATGCTCTTCCACACTGCTTTTTTATATGTGTTTTAGATGACAGAAGAGGAACAAACCATATGCTTTGGCAATAAAATAGAAAAGCAAGTAATCTTGAAATAGATAACTACCTTAGGAAATGCTATTTTTTTTTTTAAGATATCTGACCTTATGTTCTGTCCCCTGCCCCACCAAAAAAAGTCCCTACAAATATTTTTAGATGGAGAAATCGACAAGGCTGCACTTCTGTTCCATCCAAATAGGAAAGTGGTACAGAACAATTTACCAAAAGGCAATTTTGCCATATTTTTGAAGTCGTATGCTAAACATAAATTCTGAAAAGGCTCCCATTTTTTTCCTCCTACCTCTCAATTAAACTGGTATCGGATACCACTATGAAACTAAATGTTCAGTCTGCTTATACTTACTGTAGTACTTTAATCATAATTGTCATCACATTGCTGCTACCTTAGTTGTGAAATTACAGAAGACAGCAAGAGGCACGATTCTATGATATTCCTAGAAACACATGCTTCCCGTAAAATACTGAAAATCCCAACATGCAACACAGGTCTCAGTCGAAATCATCTTGTGGTTTCACACAGGTTACAGAACATTTCAAAATGTCTTCCCATCTTCTTCCTTCCCTTTGCAAAGTTGTAGGTGTAGATTGCAGTTACTATGGACTTACTTCAATGGGCCACTTGAACTAAAGATTTCACTGCGACTCAGTTTTGAAATCCCATTTCCAAGGAAAACTTTGACTCCTTCAAATTCTTTGGCTCCTTTTTTACATTTCCCTTCAATATCTGAATACACTGAGACCAGATCTCCAGCTTTCATAACTGCTCAAAGAAGAACAGAAATTTTGAGTTTAATATTATACTTGACAAGACAGTAGTGACCAAATAATTTAGGATTTTCAGTAGACTACTTCAACTCCTATATCATAGCAAAATTTAAGCTTTCTTAATGTAATCAAAGAAAAAGATTAACTGATATTAAGCTTGAAAGCGTACATGGTGAACGACAGCTAACAAATGACTAGAGCTATAGAAAGACACAAGGTTACAAATCAGACAGTGTGTCTTTTTTTTTAGAAGCTAGACAAATCTTCACTTTATTTATTTTATCACCGCATGGTCACCTGTAAGTTTTACGCACACTCTTCAGGATTCAGTCCTCTGCATGTGCTCCAAGCACGCAAGTACATCAGACAACACTGGTTCACACTTATTGTACAAAGACAATAATACTAAATTTGTCTAATGACCTCTCAATAGGTATGTAGAACATAGCTATAGCTGCTTTTTCTCTAACTATTGCTTTGCTATAAGTGATTATATATTCTTGTTGAAACAATTTTTCTGGTGTGGCTCTTTTCCCTCTAAGGCAACTGCCGTTCTCAGTAATCCTCTAAAAGAATTTTACATCTCCCATTAAAATCCTCCAGATCGGTAAAGTATGTAAATATACACCAAACTCTAGAATTGTAGTCCTAGGGACTTAACAAACTTTCTGAGGTAGAACAAAAATAAAAGGGGGATGGTTTAGGTGATTTTATAGAATAGTGAGCAAACTTTATGCACTGCCTGGCTGAAAAATATGCCTACAAATAAAGGCCTCCGCTGACAGCAATAAACAATTTTCCAAAATTACACTCCTGGCGTGTCTGACTGGCTGGAGCAACAAGAAAATATGACAAGTGAGACTAATGACAGTTCAGCTTCCCAAGAATTCTTTGAATTGTATTTAGAAGTCTTTTTTCCATTTTCAAGTGGCCTTCTGAATATGCACAAATGTCCTGGAATTCTTAAATGGTAATATTTGTTGGGTAGCCACTAAACATTTCTTTTTTTGCATAGCTTCTTTTTATGCAACGTGACACAAAACATTATGTGATAGCCTACTGTTATGGTCTGCTTAAACTTCACTGAAGAAAAACTTGCAGCAATTTAACTCTTCCATCAAGCATATTTGCCAATGATTTTTTGTAGTATTCAAACATAAAGGATTTTTTTCACTCTCTGCTGACAATTGTCTTTTCAAAATGCATTAGTACTGTGTACAGTTCTTAAGCTTTTTGTAGCTTATATTGGCATTCCATAAACATAAAGCTTAGAGTTTGATTAGTTAAATTAAACTCAAAGCTCCCTGATAATTAGTTTACCCTTATTTGGGTTGCAAGTTCAGTGATTAAATGTGTGTGCTTGCTGTACTCTTTTTTTCCCTAGTTAGACCACCTGTGCTCAATACAGCCTTATTATATTTGGCCTCAAGTGGGTAGCATGCCCTTTTATTTTATTTTCCTATCTTCAGTTCCCTTGAAGTGTTCCTAAAGTTTTATAGTATCTTTTCTTTGAATTGAATTGATGTTGCATGCATAATTACATGCAGCAATTATGATAAATAACTAGTCGACTCAAAGAGGGATATGAATATTTATGAGGTTGTCTAAATAAGCAGTTTCAACAACTGCTACGGCAATATACTTATTTCATTATCAAGTTCTAGGTTGAGAAACATTCCTGTTCGGTGAATTGGACTTAAGCACATGCTTAAAACTTGTTGAAGGTTTTTTCCTGAAAGGGAATGAAGTTAAGTGGCTAGATAAATGCTTTCCTGACTCATTTTGTTTAATAATAAGAACCATGATGATTAGTAGATCTCACCACAATAGAATAATGAGGTGAATCATCCAAAATTATACTGGTTTCACATAAAGTTAATTTGACCTTTAAATAAAAAATAAATAGGCTGCTGAACACTAAGCATTTATACGTAGATTTTTTATCTTGTCTCACAGGCACTGAAACAGAAATTTCCATTTCTTAAGAATCTGACATTAAAATTGAAGATTTTTCTCATCAGTAGAAAAAAAACTTTTTACTAGATCTCTCATACACAAACAACACCAAACGAATCGCCAATGGATTAAAAACGGAAAATCAATTTTTTTTAGATCTGTAACTTAGAATCTGACAGGATCATGAAGGAAAATGCCTTTGTGACTAAGTGAAGAAACAACATATCTGGAAATAGTATCTATTAAACAATCAACATACATCCAGTTACCATCCAGATGTATCTGTTGCGGTATTCCTTTTATTCTTTTTCTGACAAGACTGGAAAGCAGCAAACTTCTGTGAGTTTATTCTACTGAACATCCATATTAAAAGTTACAGTATCCAGTAGTAAAAAAACTCGCAAAACGCCACATTTTACTTTGACCATGCTCTTTAAAAAGATTTTCAAATGAAAACAAGAAACTGAAATCCTTGAGAGCTAATGCCTCAGCTAAGAAAAAGGAACTTAAAGCAGGTCAGGTGAGAAATAATTACATATAGTTTATTACAAGTATAATGCAAAAATAGTGAAAAACTCCCCAAAAAGCCAGAAAAACTTAAAAAAAATGTATTTACCATAAATTACAACTATAAGATGAATTTCAGCTGTGAACAGAAAAAAAAAATTAATGTCATTATTTGCTGGAAATTGTCATCAAGGGGTGACTTTTTTTTTCCTGTCCTCCTTACAACTTAACTGGGTGTATTTAGAGAGCTCTTACATTTTGAGGTAGCTATGATTCCAGGAACATAAACATGTGCGCCTCGAAGTACTGCATATCCACAGTGAGCTCCAACAATGACTTCAGAGGCATGTTTTTTTAAATCTCGCCTAAAAATACAAAATATAGTTGAGTTAAAAAAAAAAAAAAGGTATACTGAAAAAAACAAATACCCCCCCAAGTAAACTCTAATTCATAAATACTGGTTTTGTCACAATATAATAGAAAAAATAGTTAACTACCATGTATTACATTTAAAACATTTATTTTAGCCCCAGAGGATTCAAAGAAAGGAGCCAAGAAGGAAACCAGTCCTCAAAATAAAGCAGATTCTGACACATTCTGCCACTATTATGAACCTGAAACAGGAATACAAATAAATTATACTGGGATGGAGAAATAATCCTCTATCCCTTCCTAGACCAGATGATTATAAAGTGATTTTTTGTGTTTAACAACTGCTAAGTACTTCTATAATAAATGTGTAACCAGGTGCAAGGAACTTTGCCAGTAAGAATTGTGAAGATAGTTACTTGAACTTATTAAAGTGTAAACATATTTGAACATAAAAAGAACAGAATGTTCAGAAAAAGATGCTACAAAAGAGAATTAAATGAATGAAGAATAAATAAAAGTATTAAACGCTATTTTAGAGTGTACAGCATTTACATTACATAGTACTACTTGTTACCAATCTCTACCTTATCATGATATAAACTGAATCTTAAGTATGTTAGTCTTCATTATGAACAAGATACTTGAAAATAAAATGTCTGTCAGTGAATTCAATAAACAATAAAGAAACTCCATAGGGGCAGACACAGGTGCAACATGGGAAATATTCAGACATATCTTAAGAATGAAGAATGAATAGTCATTTTGCAGGGGAGAAAATTGATTCAGGAATCCTCTCAGCATTATTGATGCAGTCTCCCTAAGTCTTGCTCTGGACTTGATTCCAGTGGAAGAAAACCCTGCCTGTATTTAGTATAGTTCTATATTCCACTGCAAAAGCTTAGTTCTTCTGTCTGCCACCTCCCTGGCTTTCCAGAGAGGATGTACTTGCATTACATTTTCCCCAGAACAGGTTAATCTCATAAATAAGGAGAAAACTCTCTCTCTGTTTTCTTACATCTTTTAAGGACTAAAACTCTGACTTGGTTAGGAAATGGACTGTCCACTAGGTCTTAATATAAATGAAGTTGTGCTTCATTTATAGTGAGTTAGTTATCATAACTGTTTAACGAGAAATTTATAAGTAAAATATGTGTTATGACATTTTAAGGCTAAAGACTGAAAATTTCAAACCTGGGTCCAATGACAGGAATTAATAAGATGTCCTGGAGTTTCGGGTGCTCGAGAACTGGAACACATAGCCCTTTAAATTGCTGTTTCATTAAAAAACATAATTATTAAGCAATACTAAAAAAACTAATATTAAAGTACATAATTAGACTGAAAACTATTTCTCCATTCATAATTTATAGCTGTAGAGTACAAAAATAAATGTAGTGAAAACAGTTAAGAGAGGTTGGGAAATAGTGTGTAAGGAGACACTCCATATTAAAAATACTGGTGTAAAAGACTAAACATTTAATAAATTGAGAAATAACAAGGCCACAAAGGGATTAATTGAGAACTGACTTCAGGGAGTGGGACAGCGTTCTGACACTCATAACCCTACTACTAGTTTTTGCTTTCTTCTGGAAAAAGGTTGTGTCAAGTTGTCATCAGATCACAGGACCAGCACCAGAGAAGCTTGGGTCTAATCTGTGTTATCTTTTTGACGTTATTAATTGTAAACCACTGTTTAACTCTACTCATGTATCGCCTGTCTTACTTAATATGCCAGGTTGGTAATGCTTTTTATTTTTCTTTTCACCTTAAATTTGATTGGGTACTGAGAACTGAGTTGTGCATGTAGTTGAAAAAAATGACAGCTTGCCATTTTAAACCTGTTCCTGGACTTTAAAAAGATGGTGTCTTCTCTCCTGAGCCTTCTAAAAATATAACCTTACAACATGCAAAACCATAAATTAGTTTGCATCTGATAAATAAGTATTTTCTTTTAAGAAAGAAAACAATCCACGAGCATACTCATGAGCTGTTATGTAGTTTCCTTTTCTAATATAACCGCAATTCAAAATACGAAAAGTTTATGAAAAGCCAGTCTTAATTCAGTTTTCAGCAAAGCATTTTCCCTTGAAGCAAAATATCATGCTGCAATACCCATTTCCAGATTTCCACAATCAAGCTAAAATTAGCATAACTCATTACCATTCTAGCCAGCAGAATACTGTCAACTGCTTCTGCATCACAGAAATGTCTTGGCTCCTGTCATGCAATAGCTCCCTGTACACCCACTAGCATTAATAATTTACTTGAAGAACTGGATCTTTATAGACAGTGAAGATCTACGATGGAGTTTCAAAATAATCTACTTCTTTAACATAATGGCTTACATATTAAACATTTATTTATCTGATAATTAAGGTAAGTAAAAATCCATATAAAGATTAAAACCTTTATATAAATCTATATAAAATCTATATGAAGATTAAAAACAGGTTAAAAAAAGAAAATACAGCAGCTGCAGGGCATCACTCTGGCTCCAGTTTCTAAAACATGCAGATTTTCTTACTTTCCTAAACAGTTTGTGCAATGAAATGAGACATACAGCCATTCTCCTTTCATAGAATCGTTTAGGTTGGAAAAGACCTTTAAGATCATCCAGTCCAACCATTAACCTAACATTACCAAGTCCACCACTAAACCAGTTAAGGGTAGAGTTTCATCTTAAATAAAAATGTTGTAAACATGCTGAACACAGCATACTGAACTACAGTTTTTATCTTTTTCTACCATCTTCTCTAGACTTATGATGCCTTTATAGTATTTACTACAGTAGTACCCCAGTCCTATCTAAGGTCTGGATCTGCCATACGAAAAAGGGTTCGTTGTTTTTTCCCCTCTGTTCTTGCCTTTCTTGGACATATTAGATGAGGAACACTGCTAGACAATGAATTTTCATTTAACATTTATTGCTGACAGGAAATCAATATGATTGCATAATGTTAACACTAGTGGGCATGTATTAAATTAAAGACTAGTTTCCAGTAATGAAAAGCTCTCATAAACAGGCAAAAGATGAAATATCTGGTTATTTTTGCTGTAACAAAGAAATTGCACAAACCTTCTGGATCTCCTCAAACAGCAATTTTTTCACGTGTTTCACTGAGGCCAAGTGGGTATTAACTCTAACAGTTGTGAAACCTGGTGGATGAGATAGATGACTTAACAGAGATTGATATTTACTCTCTGCCTCCTGTGTACCTAAAGCAGCGACAAGCTGAAAGTGAAAGAAGAGATTTTATATTAGAGAGATGCACACAGCAGCCTCTTGCTTAGTGCAAAAAAAAACACTCTGTAGAAGTGGAGGAATATGGTTGTGTGGTGTGCAATAGTGAGGAATGTCTATCTCTGGAGGCCTAATTCCAGTGAAAACCTCATAAATTTCTTGAAAAGGCCTTGTTGGAAAAAGTCGTATTAGCAAGATCATTGTAAACAGGCTGCAGCAAGTACCAAAAGCAACTGCTAGCGAGCTGTGTGATACTGTACAAAGAACAGTCCTAAGGAGATGGAAGAGTAGATTCAAAACTATGAATTAATAACTTTTAACCCTACATACAAAAAAGTCATTTTTGTGTCCTTTGACATTAGGGACTCATAGATTGTCTATAGTATTTTTAGTTCTACACTGGGGTAAGGGAGTATTTCTTGTCAATATTATGTGGTAATAAGTGCTTAATTTTCTGTGTGATCATTCTTCAGTGGGATCCAAAACTGAAGTCTCAGATTTATGCTAAGTTTAGTTTAAATATTTTTATGTTACTTTGAGCCAACAGGCATAAAGAATAATTTTATATTTTAAACAGAACTATATATAAAAATCTGTGTCTAATGTGAAGACAATACCTTACTGTAAGATATTAAAGTCACACAAAATATTAAAACAAAGGAATATTGTGTTCAATTAGTGAATATTTGTTGATGATTAGTAGTATCTATTTCACATACCTCATTATTTCTGAACACTTTGGTGAGATACTCTTCAACTTCACGTTGGAAAGAGATTTTGGGGAAAAAAGACATCTTCCTTTAGTTTTTAAAATCTGCTGGTAAAAAACCAAAAGAAACAAAATATTTTCTTAGCAGTTTTTATCATATTCTATAAGTTTATAAGTGTAACATAAGATGTACCCACAAACTAAGCTGCAGTTTCTTATTCTTCTCTTTTAATAATGCAATTTTACTGTACTCAAAATTCCAAATATTGCTCAGGATATGACTGTAACACTACTGCTAATTACATTTCAGAATATGTTCATTAACATGTTTAGCATTTGCAGTCACCTTACAATGAGGCTACTGGTTTCCTTGCTGTCACATCCTTCCCAGCCATACCTTCCAAGGCTACTGTATCAGTGTTTGAAATGTGAAGAAAGTGTCACCACCTCTAAATCTTGTCCCATTAAAGTTCCACTAGATATCCTTGGGGAGAACTTGCTCTTTAGTCCTAGAATTCACTCACAAAGGCTCCTCACAGAATTTAGCTTTGAGTCTTTTAAGTCCCATCTTTGAAATTCTTATGCTATTACATGATCATATCTGTTCATTTTTAGAGATCATCTTCAAATTTTTCCCTGTCAGGTTTCATTCTCTCAAGCTTAATTTCTTAGGTTTCCTCCATAATTCAGATTATCCAAACTTCATAACGGGGGGACATGTGCATGACTGTGGACAATGATTTTTATTTTTTCCATATATACATAAAAAATTAAAGAAGGACTATGAGTAACAGTTTTCTCTTGAGTCTGTGTTTAATTCACAGTAGGAATAGTGAAGCATTAATGCAACAGAAGTTCTGCTGATCCTTACTGAAAATGTTCAAGCTGTCTGGTGAAAGATTACATGGTTAAAAGGTACAGGAAATTTCCAGATGTTGCTTTAATTCCTTCTGCAAAGCCCAGCTATCAAGTCCCTATTGTAGCTCAGCCCTGATTCAGCTTTTATTCTTTGAAAGTATTCTCTGTTTATTTTTCTCTGTAGGTAATAAAATACAGTTATCTTACCAAATTGTATCTGCCCACCCCTATATTGCCTGTATTTTAAAAGATTATACACACTGCAGTCTGAAATGAGACTTCCTAAAAATTTAAGTTTGTTTACACCAATTTAAACAGAGGGAAAGTGAGAACAAGCCCCACTCCTATCAGTGAGGTTTATTCCATACATAACAAGGAAATTTGAATACTAAAATACTCCATTTTCATTGTATTAAACATACTTGGAGAAAATATATCATAAAGTTTGATATTCATTCTATTTGAATAAGAGGGTATTTGTCACTTTTATCATACAAAGCCCCTCAAAAATACCTTTTTTGATATTTCAGATTCATTTTAAGTTTTAATGCTAGAAGAATGTTATCTTTTTTAGACAACTTTTGAGCCCAGACAAAGGTAATTTTCAGTTTCATGGGTAGGAGTTTCAAAGCCTTATTCCCAACATCAGCAGCCTTTGAAAGAAATGCACTGTATTGGAATTAATGAACTTCTTTTTAGAATCTAACAAAATGCCCCAAAGAATTTACCTTGATAGTTCTACTAAATATAGTAGTACTACAATAGTTCATATTACAACCAAAATTACTAAACTGAACAGTTTTAACATTTCAGACAATGTGACATATCATGCCTCTGAGCTGTTATGGCTACATTAGAGGGGAAAAAAAAACCACCACAAAACCCCCCATATGGCTCACATTTGGAAAGTTTTTTGTTCAGAAGCATAATAAACTAGCATTTAAAAAAACCCCACACTTGTTAATTTTTTAAAGAATTGGAATCCTGAAAAGAATTAAGCAGACATTTGAAAACTGGTAGTAATATGTGTTATTTATGAGCCCTACAATTGACTTCAGTATTAACATTATGAAGGTATCTTTTTAGGATGTTAAATGGGTATTTTACGATAACTGCGGAATCCCACAGAATGATTGAGGTGATCTCACAATTACAGTTACTTCTTCATGGAAAACCAACCACTGATCTGACAGCATGTTGGCAACAGGACTTGTTTCTACCTCATCTTTAAAATGTGACTGAGTGCTACCATGAAACATGAGCCAGTAGGTAGTCAAAACCAAAAACCCTTGGTAAAAAGCACTGCACACAAAGGACAGAACTGCAATGAAGTTCCCTGAATGTGTTATAAAAGGGAAGCTAGTCCTATGATACAAATTAACAAGACAACTATGTCAACAAATAATGCAGGATCTCCATGGTTTGAAATTTCATACCAAAATAGGAAAGTTATAATGTGTTAGAAACCACTATCCTTCTAAACAGGCTGGCAAGTATATTAAAGTGCCTGCAATATAATGAGGGCCAACAGAAAAACAAGAATAAAAACAAGGAGATTTTACTTCTCCCCGTGTGGGCAGGGTAGACGTCACACAGAAGCATGATGCCACATTTGTGCTTTTAACCACAGTTAATGAACACTTCAGGAAGTCAAGGAACAGGTAACAGGAGATGTTAAGACTTGACACTGAGTAGTTCAAAGGGCCTGGTACAAAACGTTACTGCAGAAGAGCTGCGCTGTCACAGCAACTGTAAGGGATGTGGACTCAACACATGCATTCAAATGACAAATACAAGAAACCCACTATCATTGTGCTTAGTTCAGGGAGAGGAATAACACACAAATGAAAACCAATTCCTCAGTTAAAAACAGCAGTCAAAAGAATAAAACCACTGTAAGCAGCCCAGAAATTTTAAAACCGCACAACTGGAGGTTCAGAGCACACCCACACAACCTGAGGCTTCAGCACTGTACGTATGCCCTTTCAGCAGCCATTACCTCAGAAAAGATATAATGTAGCTTAGAAAGGTTCAGGGAAAGCTGATCTATAGATAGAGAATGGCTTTCAAATAAGGAAAGTCTAAACAGTTTGCAGACTTCCAGGCTGGAGAACACAGCTGAGGCAAGGATAGGACAAAAGCTTATAAATTCAGATGTGGCAGGAAGAGAGGCTGATGAGGGAGACTGTCTAGTGCTTCTTCAAATACAAGAATTAGATTTCAAACAGAACTAGCAGGAGGCAGGTTTGAAACCAAAGAGAGGTATTTTTTTCCACAGACCTGCCGTGCGGTACATCTTGCTCCAGGAAAGGCTTGATGGACTTCAGAAGGGAGCCCTTGAGGGAGCATCACCCCCCGCTCACCATCTCCTTATGGATTTCCCTGTGCCTCTGTTGGGAGCTGCTGCGGTGGACGCGATGCCCGACTAGGGCTTTCACCTAGCTACGCTCATGAGCGCTGCGAGCTGCCAAACGCAGCCAGCACCCAGAGATGCCGAGCAAGATTTAACTTCCACACCTCCCTTCCCCACCCCTTCCCACACGAGGAAAAAGCCAGCCGGCTCACTGCTGTGGGGAGCGGAATTTGGGGCTCCCTCCTTTATTCCCCCATCCACCCCGTTATTGAAAGCACCGGGGGGGTGAGGGGCACAGCTCTTCGCAGCCTCCCTGAGGGCCTGCGCGGCACCTCACGCCGGGCCCAGGGGCACCCAG